TTGGTATAGATGTTTTACAAGCAATAACTTTCTGCGAATAGAAGTAATCGACAAGCTCAAAGTTGAAGGTGCTAGGGCAAAGCAAGAGCTAACAGGGCCCATCCACCAATTCCTTTTCGGCGCTCACGTCAGTTGTAAAACGTTCGTAGTTCATAAATAGGCATGCACACATGTGCTGAAGCGAGGTCAAAAAGTGGCTAATTTTTTGTTCGGTCAAGAAAATCTCTCGGCAGCGCAAACCCTATGGGCTCTTTTATGTTGCATAATAATCTACGAAAATTTCTCTATCCATCCATTATTAGAAAAGATGCCTATCAATTTTCATAAGGGAGCGTTACCATGTCAAAAAAGACAGATTCGAAGAAAAACGCTGCGAAGTTTTTGCATTCTTGGTTCTTCCTTAACAAAGATTTGCGCAGATCTCAATATGCATTTTTTAGCCAAGGGACTGCTCAACACATAGAAACTAAGACCTTGGAAAAAAGTTGACTCTGAAAGAAGTTATGACATTTTAAACTCAAAAATTCAAATCGGACAGAACTTATGCAACAGCCAGTATATAGCTGAGTGTATATCAACAGGTGACATATCATATCATCATCTAGCGCATCATTCCTCATCAGTTCGATTTGTTTTTGAGGTGAAGTAAGGTTTTTAATGGCTCAGAACCTTTCTTGAAGTTCCTACCGTCCATCCTATAGTAATAAAGAGCGATGGTAAGTCGCTCCATATGGCGAATCCGATTTGGAGCCAGACCTACAAAATGGTAGCAGAAAGTAGACAAAAGGCTTCTTGAAAAAAAATTAACGATAAAACAGTGTATACATACATTTGAGACACCCTGCTTTCAACAAAAGGACCTGAATGGCTTCACAGATTTACTTCTCCTGTCCTATGAATGATCGAATGGATGAAGTTACAGAGTTACAGATTTGTTTATGCTAAGATGACCCTAAGCTTGGTAGCGTAAAATCAATGTGGCGGTAGCTTTTCATCCCTACCAGATTTTCACCTTATCGGACAGCATTTTTCAAACAACTGTAAAGTGACTTTGGATTTGCAGCTGCAATATCACTTCTCTGGAGACTGAGCCATGCAATCTGATGGCAGAGAAGTGCCCCTAACTCCGATTTGAAAGAATAATTTGTGTCAGCGTTTGAAAATCTCTCAAATGATGTATGATACATCTTGTTTGACGAGACCACTTCGATTAAATACACTTCCTTGTTATACGTACTTAGTTCTGCTACATCACTATAGTGTATGCGTGTTTTTTATAAGAATTGAAATGACAGTAAATGCCTCGTGAAACACGGAATTATATTTTGCGTTCTAAAAACTGTTGTGAAGCAAGAGCAATTTCAGAATACCTTTAAAGTTATGTCTGAGTTTGAACTAGGGATTATATCAGCGCAAAAGCTGCCAGATTAAATATAAACTCTCATTCACTATCAGAATAGGATTGAACTAACGATAGTGACCTTAGCGGCAATTTAATCAGAATCGAATTCAAAGTAGTTCGAGTTGTGGTACACAATGCTTCCTGTTGCGCTGCACTGTGACATCCATATTTTATTATGGTACCATTACAAAACCCGTCGCTGAAATTAGAATGGAAATTGAATGGAGTCGAAATGCGCTGCTTTCGGGCACGACTGAAGAGGCACAAATGGTTATCATTGTTACAAAGTGTTTATCCATCAAGATACCGAATTGCGTTTATGTCTATGACAAAGCAATCGTGGGATAGTTGTAGCACTGGTCATTTTTTTTGAAAGCTGCTGCTATTTAAGATAGTTACTCGTATGCACAACATTTTCAAGCATTATGAATCACAACATGTATTGGAATATGGAAATTGTCATCATATCTTTATTAATTAACTAGGACATATGTGGCTCTGCTTGGTACCCAAATTCATGGCCGACCCATTCCCCACATTTATGAAACATCTCCCTGACTTTCACTTCCAGTGCCAATTCTTCACTGTTTGCATATCCATCATGAACATCTAACCCCTCCCCCTCCCTAATCAACTGCTGTTCCTGTCGATTACCGAGAACTATGATTTAAAAACGATGTAACGGTCAGTCATTTTTATTGTAACTATTGCATTTGTAATCAAAGCATGCTACTTATCCCTGCAAACCTTCAGCGCCACTGCCTGCTCAAATTTACAAGAAACTGAAAACCGATTTCGACTGACAACCGAAAGTGACCTATACATTCTTGTGAAACTTTGCAAATAACTTGTTGTAAGTTGCCGACAATTGAGATTAATCTTAGATTTAATCTTGTTAAAATTTTAATTAGCTTTATTTAAAAATTTTCGGAGGACATGGCTGATACGAACCTTCCTCTATAAAAATTTCTTTTTCCAAGATTTTCGAACCGCCACTGATATGAAGATACAGAAACACAAAGACATAAACGCACATTGCTCCATAGAAATGCTCTGAATTTGAAATTTGCCCATCTGGAATCTTTCCCTCTTGTGTGAAACCCTACGCGATACCGCATGGCTCGATATTTGCCAGCATCAGCCAAAATAAGCCAGAGTTTCCCCAAATTTCCCTTTTTCTTCTTTCCTTGTATATTGAAAAGTACTTCTGCTAGCACGATTGCAATTTGCAGCTTGTATTTGCTTTATTATTATTAGGTTGTAACAGAATTAATGCAGGTTTTTCGCACCTCTTTTTCAATGTGCTGATTCAAAACAAATTCCCACTATCTCAAAAAAACTATGCGTAGCATCTGAAAGCACTCTTCTTCTAGTTTCGTAGACATGCTTTCGTTTCGAGAGTAGTGGATTCATCCCGAGATTACGCGCCTTCGAATTTGAAAAGCTAAATTCTGAACTATTTTCTTTTCAAACTCTTTGCTCTAAATTCACCACTAATAATCGGAATTTTTCGCAAACTGACATAATGTTAGCATGTGAGGTTAGCTACAAAATACAGATTAAAGCAGATTTTTCAGAAGTTTCCAGAATGAGAAATCTGTTTTAAACCCAAACAAAAGCTGATATCATTCTGCGGCGTATGAAAATCATAAGTGCGCAGCAAATGCAGAGCTTTCGTCGTGAGCATAAAGAATAGGCACAGTATATTTGATGGCAAAAAACGGGAGTTGTTATTCTCTTTGGCGGCGAGAAAATTTAAAATGCAGCAAAAAAGGACTTTTCACCTTTCCAGAGCAATTGATAAAAATGAGTGATTACAAATTTTGTGCGATATTTTCTAAACAAAATTTGTTCGCAAATTTCAAGCTTGAAGGCAGTGTCTCACCAAAGTTTAGGTTGCGCGGATCTTCACATATTCTATCATAGGGACCTCTATATAGGCCACTGCAACAAGTCCCACTCAATTTGACCCCCTCCACGCTGAGAAAAATTCGCTCAAAGTGGTACGCGGAGAGCGAGCTGGTACGCGCGTACGACTCCTTCGGTCTCCCCCCTTACGCGTTTGAACATGTCCCTCCACTTGGCATCCACCTCCCCTCTGTTGCTGCCACTGTGGCTGAGCCAGAAGTTGGAAGGTACAACTCGTCCACGTAGCTTCCGCGGGGCCTCCAGAAAACGGGGTTTTTGGGAACTTCATGCTATTTTAAGCCCATACAGTGCTAGACAGGGTCCGACAGGCTTGCAAAATGCAAAAATCTCGGCAACTAAATTTTGGTGAGACACTGCCTTTAACGCTGCTACACAACCAACTATTGTCTACACATTGAGTGTAATTTGTATCATTCTACTAAATTGTGCAGCAAGTTATGGCCTCTCAAACTGAAGGTTTTTCAAGAGAAATTTTGGCAATCTTTAGGCTATAAAATTTTCCTCAGTGAAGCTACAACGACATAGTAGTACGTACTAAATTTCCAAAGGTTTGCTGATTGCGATAGTCTTTATTGGAGACGGATTGACTATTTCCGTGAATAGATATAGTTGTCCAAGCTCAAAATTTGGAAAACCTGCATTAATTCTGTTACAACCTAATACATGCGTGTTGTAACCGTGCGCTTTGCATAAAGGCTACAAACGAATCACCTCTGACGTAGAGTGCTGTGTCAAGTTCATCGGCTTGTGAAACTTGGTGCCAAACAACTAAAGAACAAGTTCAATGTCAAAGGTCGGAAGTAAAGCAAATCTTCCTTTACGAGAAGATTGAAGACAGACAAAATGCCAAACTGAAGTTTTTCCTTCACAACTTCAAATTCACAGTGGAGTGGAGTAAAGCGCAAGATGCCACAAAGGGCTTGTATCGAACCATCACTTCGAATGGACGAGAGAATTCCACCATTTCTGGAGACGCAGAATCGTTGAAACTTTGATACCAACTATCTGCTGTATGCTCGTCTCGAAATGCCAGCATCGCTAATGGACAGGGTTTGGAATAGGGAGGCAGGGTTCGAAACACTTCCACAAACTCTAAAAAGGCCGGTTGTAGGCCGCTTTTCGTCTGTGACGTTCAAATGGCTTGATGGGGAACCTTTTGCAACGAAGTCCCAGAAACCCCCACTTCGTCTGAATGCCTTCAAGGAGGATTCCTAAAGAGATGTTTAAACGAGAATGACACGACATTTGATAGGGCATACCACTTCGCAATGGGAGCGAATCCACCGCTGCAGATGGAATGCGCTATTAACACGGGCATGGCTTGAATTACACCGTATCTCTTCTGCGTCTCAAAATATCTTGAAATTTTCTTTCAAAGAACTGATGAGTTTGAGCAGTTTTTTCTGTATTTTCGAGACGCAAAAGCTCAAAATCTCTTGTTCGCTTTTCGAGGTGAAGTGTTTTTATCACATGAGCAATCTGCTATTGTGTATCTTAAGTGTCTTGGCACTTAGATTCAGATAAAAAATGTCGGACTGTGGTACGGCCATTTAATATAGAAAGGATTGATTACTTGAGTAAGGGGCGTCTTTATATGCTCGTCGTTCAGACCACACTTCATTTATTCCAAAATAGTATACTATAGGCGTCGCTATGTGCGATAAAGTAAAGCTAACAACCAAATTTTTGCAGGTTCTTAGAGTCAGTTCTTCATCACAGTTGAAACCACCTTTGTTGATATTTTTGTGGTAGGTTCGACACTAACAGTAGCTGTAGAAAATGATCTTTTCAAAATGCAGTTCTTGGCCAGCTCTCGCATATCTCGGTTCAATGCGACGTATACTATGGAGTTGCAAGTACCTGGAAATTTGCGAATTTATGACATGTTTGACTTTATAGAGTATCCTATCCACCTGCTGCCAACAGCCCTAGTATGTAAAATGGGCCTACAGTTTTGAAAATAGAAAAGCCGATCATTTCAACAAAACCAACGCCAACGCTAGGTAGAGTCACAAAGAGTAGTGAGGTTAACAGGATACCAAGCGAGCTGCGATTAGCCTAAAGTGTCAATTTCTATATATGTCGATAACTAGTCTAGCCTTACTTGTCTGAATCTACTTGTGCTACTATTACTTGTGGATACAAGAGCTTTTTCAGATTCGGAATGTTTTTGGATATAGCGTAGCTTTGCCAACATAGCCATTGTGAGAATGATCACGAAAAAGCCAAGGACCTGAAATTTTAAACTTCACCTTTTCTTAGGTTTAACTTCACACTTACCATATTGCTTGTTCCCCAGTAATAGCGAAATCGATCGCTGACAAAACAACCTATAGCAGCACAGTTAGGTCTTGGTAAGATCGGGGAAAGGACAAATTCAGCGGTTACGTCGCATATAGCCAGAAATATTCCAATCAGTAAAGCAGTATTTGCATATACTGCTGAAGACATCCTGCGATAAATTACTGTGAAGTATAGAGCCTGAATTTACCCGTTAACATTCGAAACTCAGAAAAAAGTTTAGTCTTACAATGGTTCTATCCAAAGCGATTGCTATCGTTAGTGTTAGATTGATTTTGAGCTGTATAGTCAAAGGTGTGCTGGATATCATAATCATATAGGGATTAAGCAGTATAAAGGTGTCATTCCACGTAACAATGAGATATATTATATATGGAAGTGCTGGAAACATCTACTTGGGTCGAGTTTGTATTGCGATTTCGATGGCTCTTACAAACAGGTAATACAATTTTTTTGATGCATTGTTTGATTGTTTCTATCGCTTTTGCTTCAGTATCTCTATCTTTTGGCGACAATCTGTAGAGCTTTCTTCAACCCAGGCTCTGCTGCGTGAGACAAATGAGCGATCATTCTTCATTATTGGGACACGATAGCAATTTCCAGCAACTTCTGTGAACTAGGCCGCCGCCTCGATGAAATTTCGAAAAAAAATCGAGAATTCGCGCGGCGGGGTTCGCAAAGAATTTTGATATCGCGCAGCGGGGTTTTAATCTCACGTCTCAAAAAATTTGTGAGGATCATCAGATATTGTTATCATGTTCGAAAAGTAAGAAAACAGGTGGTTACGGTGAACCTAGCATAACTTTTTTGACAAAACACTGCGGTAAATTGCGGTTTCACATTTAGAGTCGACGAAGCGACTCTGATTTGTTGAGTTTCTACCGTAATCCTGCAGCAATGAAGTGCGATCAAAAAATGGCTCTATACTGTAATTTAAGGTTGGCAGGTACCGCAACATATACTGTAAATAACAAAGCACAGTTACTCTTCACCATAATCTATGGGAGACACAGCGATAGAGCATTGAAGAAGGATATTGTTTTAGATATCGTAGTGAAGAGCACAGTCAGAATTTCTTTCTATGTACTTGATGTTCGTGCAAAAGGATGTGAGATTTTTTTTTATAAATTCAGAAAAAACTGTCTCTTTGTAGTAGTCAAACGTAATTGAAATGGTAACGAATTCAAGTAAAGTATCTAGTTTTTTTTCAGAGCGATTGTTTCGCACTTTCTGTGTGGCATAATGCTCTTGTAAGCGTCCTTATTGCTACAGAGTTTGAAGAAGGCAACAATCCACGACTGATACTTACCAGTAACTGCAAGCATCGTGTCGGTGATAGAGAGAAACACTATCATTCGCAAGGCAAGATTTTTCCGGAGCCGTTTCACTCTAAATAATATTACAAGGGTCGAGATCGAAGTACAGCTTATTTGAAGAGTGGCCAGAAAGCGTGGAAGCCCTTTTTACTAAACTCTTTAGCTAGCAAAAAATTTTATCTCAACAAAAAACACTATCTCAACAATTAAAGAACAAAGTACAAAGCGGACTAGGAATATCCTTTATTTCTAAATATTGACTGCACTTTTTCGCAAATACACAAGTTCCTTATTGTAGCTAAATGTGGGAGATCGAGCTAAGATACAACCAAATATTTTTGAAACCACTGATACTTTTGATAAGTAAATGAGAGAGTCAAAATTGATTCGTACTAATATAGATATGTTGTTCCTAATGTATGTTTGCTTCAAATCTGCCTTGGACTCTTCATGTCTGCCATAGCGTCACATTTCTAACCAACTCTTTTGCAGTGTGCAACTTACCTGAGATACAAGAAAAGGACAAATCCATTGGATATAATGCATGTAAACTGCAAAGTGAAAATTATGAGGTCCGTGATGAGGAACGACAAGTTGCCCATGTTTGGTATCAAACTTCGATATCTGAATAATTCTTATAGACATAGACAGAAGCTCATAGTCATTGGCGAACATTCAAGGAAGAAAAACCACGTGATGAGGACATGAGTTAATATGTCTACGTTTTCCTGATTTACAAGAGTACGATCGTTGAGTTGATAAAAAGCAAGACAATTCATATAAAACAGTATATGCAACTACCAAAACAACGCTTTCTGCACTGAATGCATGCTATATCTGTTACGAAGCTAAAATGGAGACACAAATGGAAGTGGCAATTTTTCGGCATTAACAGTCTTCCTCGAGGTTTTTATTGTTTTCAGAACCTTATTCTACAAGATACTCGTTTGTAAGGCGATTGAGATTGTTGGAACACAGCAAGCAGTTCACTGAGGATCATCAGAGTTATTCAGATTGAATTCTTCATTAGCATAGCCGTACAGATTATATTGACCACAATGACACAATGCGTCTGAGTACAAAAAATTCTATGCATTTGCGAAGCACCCTGCTTACTGCAGCACCGGCCGCAGAAAACACATTTATCCATGAAAATCCCACCATATTTTACAGCAGTCACGATATGTTCAAGATATGTAAGACTAGAATACTATGCCGAATGGCTACGAGATCAACGAGAATTACCAATACAGATAACGCTTCCAAATTCACACATTGCAAACAATTAGAGACACCTGGTAGCTATTTTTTCCTCCCCCTTTCCAAGGGACCATGTTGACTGTCTGACAGGACGAGCTCTAGGAATACCTATATTATTGCCGTTACAAATAACACTATAAAAAAATTGACAGCTTAATGGAGCAGGAACGCAAGGAGAAACGCACGCCTATCTTTGAATGTAAAAGGCAATTCTCTTTTGCGTTGGCTTGAACTTTAGTTAAATTTACATTATTGAATGACCGTAAGGTTCACAACATTATCGTACTTCCCCCACAGCTATTGCTGATAGCGCGCACTTTCCGAGCTTATAGATTTCAACAAATGGGAAGAAATTTGTAAAGTGGAGGGAACTTTAGCCAAGTCTGCAGTGAATTGGATATTTACGCACGGGAATGATTGAACAGCGGCATTTTCGGAAGCTATTACTGCCGCAAAATGATAATTACCACTCTCCGTATGCTTCTTCACGAAATCAAGGCATGATTCAGGTGATAGAGGCATATTGTTAATTCGCTGATTGCACGAACTGCTCAAAAGTTGCGGAACACGCGCGGCATGACTAAAATATCTCGAGAGCATGATATACAATGGCCATCCGTACGGAGCAAGCGATTTATCTCGCGGCGGGTGCACCGCAAGGATGTTCCAGTCCGTGCGGTCAGCGAATCAATGATATATAGCTTGAAGTTGTGCCGATGGTAGCGTTGCTTATCCATTTTTACCTGACTTTCGCTCAAAAGAAATACGTTACCTCTCATGCTTTCAGAAAGTTGCTTGAATACATTATGTATATATGCCCTCTGAAGGTAGTTGGAATGACGTAAATCAAGTTCAAAAATCTAAATGCAGCTTTAACGAAACATAAGAATAGTGGAAATCTTGATATGCGATATTCAACCACATCAGTGATGTACTCGTGGTTATAGTGGTGTCTTATTTAGATGTTAACAACGCACACGCATACCATACTGCTCTTTTTGTAAAGGTTTCTTCCCTTTTTTTCAAAGCTGGCGAATTGCGTAGAAGAGTGACAAATGTGCTTTAAGCTTTTTAGAAAAGCCCTAATTGAGTCGCGTCGAAAGTTCAGTCCTTCTAACTACCTATCACATAATAGCAAGCATCTAGAAACTATTTGACGTAGTTTTTCTTTCCAACAGTTATACTTCTGAAGTGGTTACTCTTGTGGTCTCTGAAGTATTCGTCAAAATATGGAGCCTGTTTTGCATATCCAATTTCCTTCAAAAGCTTCATAGCTCTTGAAGGGGCCTTGCTGACAGTCAGATAGAGGTAACAAAGTGAAATACAATGCAACTTTGGCATTTCTAGCTGGTTTTTAGTCCATTTTTGATGCTAATAAAAATGGAACCAAAAATTGCAGTTCCTGTTCGTCAAGCTAAACCTCATAGAACAATCAATCGGTAAGTAACAAGGGTGTCGACAATGCAGCTTTGCTCCTCTCTTTATTAGTCACTTTATCCCCCAGTTCGTGAAAACGTCCGGATAAAATTATCATATTATGAACCTCATTCTGAGCGCGCTCTAAGTTGCAAATCGGAGATTCGAAATTCTGTATTACAAAGCTTTATTTCGTTGGGTTCATGCTTCATGACACGACCAAGCGTAAAATTCAGAAAAAGTTATTGTGAAAAATACAGAATAGTCTCTCAAAGGTACTCGAAAATGTCGTACTGACGTACGTTCGAAATTCTGATAGTCACTCTAAGTGAGCGCAAGAGAAAAATTACAAAAACATACGGCTGCAGAAAGCTTGAGTACGCTTTTCTATCTTCGTTGCACATTTATGACAGATTGAGACGACGGAAAGAACTTTCGGAAAGACATAAATATGTAATGCTGAATTTTATTTTAGATCACTCCATCTGTACCAGCCTAAATCTTTCCAGGCCTATCTTTCATGATCTTCGAATTTGAATGACCGAGAAGAGCTTGGACCTACGCATCTACATCGACGGGCTATTTGGGAGTTCTTGTCTAGTATAAAGATATCAAAGTGTGCGAATTTCAGCTAAGAAAGAAGAGATAACACAAACACTGTTTATCAGCTCCTATTACGGGTATGAATTGGAATGGCACAATGACGCTGATTCAAAGTAAACTAGCAACTTGTGCTCTTCACAATTTTTTATTGAACTGAAACGACGATTTAGACGCATGCTATGCATGCTTATGGAAAATGCATACTATAATTTTTTCCGAAAACCGTATGACACTCATAAATGCTGGATATTCCATAGAGAACTATCACAATTTCTCGGTGGTTGTCAAAGTGGCATCGCACTTGGACTCATTGATACTTTTGTGGTGGCTTCAGCTTGAGGGTGTGTTTTTCCCAAAATGCAGTTTCTGGCCAACACTCGCATGTCTCGGTTCAGTGCGAAGTAAACTATGCAGTTACAAGTACCTGAAATTATGTGCATGCTTAAAATGTTTGAAAGCAAAGATTTTCTAGAGACCTGCTGAGAGAAGCCCTAGTATGTAAAATGGGCCAACAGTTTTAAAAATGGAGAAACCAATCATTTCAACAAATCCAACGCCGACGCTAGGTAATGTCACAAAGAGTAGCGAGGTTAGTAAGATACCGACCGAGCTACGATTGGCCTAAATTACCAATTTTTGCAAGCTGTTGACATATATTTTGAGCCTTACTTGTCTGAATCTGCTCGTATTACTATTACTTGTAGCTACAAGAGCTTTTTCGGAGGCAGAATTTTTCTTAATATAATGTAGTTTGATTAGCATAGCTACTGTAAGAATTATCACAAAGAGGCCAAGGACCTGAAATTGGTTTGCTGCACGGTTTAGATAAGTTCCTTCATTACGCTTACCATATTACTTGTTCCCCAATAATTGCGAAATCGGTCACTGACAAAACACCCTATGGCAGCACAGTTGGGTCGTGGTAAGATTGGAGAAAGTATGAATTCAGCAGTTACATCACAACAAGCCAAAGCTAACCCGATCAGTAATGCCAAATTTGCATATAATTCTGAAGACAATCTACGATAAATAACCGTAAAGTACAAAGCCTGAAATTTACCCATCAGTGTATTTGGACACGGAAAGATTCGCTCTTACTATAGTTCTGTCCAGTGCAATTGCTATCGTAAGTGTCAAATTGTTTTTGAGCTGTATAACCAGGGGTGTACTGGATATCATTACCATATAAGGGTTGAGATTGATATTGTACTCATTCCACAAAGCAATAAGGTATATTATATACGGAAGTGCTGAAAACTTTTCCTTACAAATTTCGAGCAAGGCTGAGATTCTTGAATGAAGTAATTCCGTGCTGTGATTGCATTTTTGAGGTTTGCAGCAATTACTGCGTGTGAGAAAGGCACAAAAAATTTACGAAAGATTGTAACAACTTTGTCATTAATCAGTTTTGACAACTCTTCCGAGCCACAAAGGATAGTGCAAGATTGTCGTATGTTTATATTCGTTTACTACAAGTACGTGCAAATGGTCTTCGAAAAATTTGAATAAAATCCAGTTTTTTTTATGTAGTCACATCTTAGAATTATCTCATGGTCGGTACTTATAACGCCTTCGCCTTCTAATCGTCATCATTTTTATGATTTGATAACGCCTTCTAACGATCGGCATCATTTTCTTGGTTTGCTGTCACTCACCAGTAACAGCAAGCAAGGCGTCGCTGATGGAGAGATACAGCACCATTCGCAGGGCAAGGTTCTTACGAAGTTTTTTCACTCTAAAAAACTTATAAGTAATGGGACCACGGGCGGATGCAGCTTTATTCTACAGAATACTGCATGTGTAGCCATTTTGGCATTATGGTAACAACCTAAACATGTGAAAAATATTGCATGTAGTATATCTTTTTATCTGTACAGGAAAACGAGATATTCAAATTCTGTTAATTCGATAGTGTTCTAAGCAAGAGCGCCGAAGTCTTGATTTGCGACATTGTTTGTTGTGAATCTATGCTGGCCATATCGTTGCTCCTCTAGTCTAATAGAGTGTTCACAATTTGACCAATTTTTGAGCAAGTTGTGACTTACCTGCAGTACATAAAAAAGACAAATCCATTACAAATTCCGCATGTAATTTGCAACGATAAAATCAGGAGATCCGTGATGAGGAACGACAAATTGCCCATGTCTGATGTGTAAATTTTGATTTCTCAATGACGTTGTAAAATATAGAGCCTCAAATTCACTGACGCACAATCCATTAAAAAACATCTATTGGATATCATAAGCAATACAGTGGAATAACACATTGATTTACGATCACAACCTAGGGACAAATAAAACAATATACGGTTTGCCTTGAACAATTGTTCACTGAACGAAACACAGGTGACTCTTAGAATTTGTCAATAAAGATTGGTGAGAAAAGTGGAAATTGCAACTTATTTACAGCTACTGCTTTAATTTTGAGTAGATCGGAAACTTATAAGCAGTAGCCATAGCCAAAAAATCGAGATCGATGAACCAAAACTTCCATAGAAGGAACTAACGCTACTCTTGTTCTAGCTAGATGCACTCGCGGACGCTTAGCTACTAATGTTTTATCGACCACACCTTCTATATGTATTAGGCTGTCCGGAAATTAATGCAGATTCCTTTTGCGATCACGACTGTGTGACTATAAAAATGTGGGATTGATGATTTTGCTTCCAAAAAACCTGATGACATGACAGAGATTCACTGCGATACTCTTTTTGCAGAACTGCATCAGAAGTTCTCACAGTAGCGATCGAAGTTGCGACTATAATAGCCGATTTATATAAGGTTATATTCAATAAAGCAATAAACTGAAAAGCGATACGTACGATTGGTCTTTTACCAAGCCTCATGTTCGTTATGCATATTTAACAAACAAATTTCAGAAGTCCCACTAAACAACCACAGTGAGGGGGAAGTTTCAATATTTTTTTTTGTGTGAACCGGGTATTTTTGAGCCGTTCAAAAAGTTTTGTTTTGAGCAACAGGTGAACGGGATGTTAGGGTGTAGATAGAGAAGTAAACCGGTAATAGTTAAACCTGGATTGAAGCTTCGAGAGAGAGCTAACTAGGTCAACATATGCTTTTCTGCTTTCCTCTAAGTATTATGCAACAGACTTTTCGAAAAAGCGTTAGAGCGCAGATGAGACTGTGAAAGGCTAAAATAGATTTACTGAGGAATGGCTTATCAGCCGCTGTTGATAGTCCCCACACATGTATACACATCTGAGTATTTGCCGTAAAGTGTGGAAATCGTTCTGTCTTTCTATTTCGTACGAGAAGTTGTTTTTGTGAGAGATGCTTCCACTCGACTTTGTCGTATTTGCTTTTTCTGCAAAGAATGATTACTTTAATTATGGATACGCTGCTTGAGTACAGTAACTGGTCAGAAAACATCAGGTTACTGTACGAATACTGAAGTACATTTGGCTTGTCAGATTTTCCGAACGAGGGAAAAGGTTAATATGGTTTGCGACCAATCGCATTTACTCAGTACATTTGCGATAAAAATGTATTTCAGAAATGAGTCGCCTGATGAATTTATAATATGATTTTAGAAGATTTCGTGTATAATAAGGTAATGCTCATGCCGCACACATTAAAAGGTGACAAGGAAATAGTTGAAAATACATATTTGAAGGTTAATCATCATAGTACTTATGTTAGCAGAGCACTAGAACGAATAATTTAGGTACATCAAGAATATGCTGTCCGCCTTTACGACGAGTTTTCCATCTGGCTGCCACGTTATAATCAACATTAGAGGCATCTAATGATTGAGTAGCAGCAAAAGAGATTTAATCGAAGCTAAAGAGTTTAGAGACACCAAAACTAATAAAGGTGCTTATTATCTTAACTTCCACTCACTTAAAATTGCTACAATAATTTTTGAGATTACCTGGACGCACCCGAGTATTGATACAACATCTTCCTGAGATCTCGCAAAGAAGACAACCAACATCATATAATGCCGTCAAATGCCAGGTTTAGCTTCTTTGGGGACCAATGCCTTACTGTTGTATAATTGAGCCGTTCCTTACTAAGCATTTGAGGAAAGTAATTGTACTTTCACACACTTTAACGTCAACGAATGAATTGTGCTAGGTCCCTAGAAGAGTTGTTTGGTACACAAATCCTAAGACAAAGGCGTAGGTGGATAAGGACAAGTATCAAGCAAAGCAAAGTTCTGTAAAATTTTCATCTTGGACAGTATTTGTGTCACGAGTGATTAGACAGCGAAGGCATCATAAACATCTAATCAGTCATCTTAACAGATCAGCACTTACATAGCGTACACTTCCTTACGAGAATAGTACGCAAACCCTCAGGCTGAAATGCTATTGAACTATGATTAGCTTCTTCAAGCTTAGCGTAAGGCTTATAGGTAGAGCACTTATAAATAGCTCAGCTGATAGTCCAAATACTACAATAAGCAAATTAGTGTACAAAATTCGCACTCAACATTACGTCGATGGACAGAGCTTGTTTGCCGAAACTTAGAGATTCTGAGGAGTCTGAGACAACCAGGAACTACAATTATTAGCATGCATATTAATAACTTCGGATCTAATTGATGATTGACTCAAATAAATTTCCCTAGACGGCGTAATGTGTTTGATTGGTAATTCAAAATAACATTTTCCACGCAAAAAGCATGGGAGGGGATGTAGAAAGTTTGAATATTGTTTGCGGTGAAGTTATTTGCAAATTAGAGAGAAGCTTCATTTTGAAAACGTTCTACGTCCTATAACTCAGCGAAGATAAAAGTCGCCAGCCTTCTTGGAAACAAAATGGTTAAGAAAGTGTTGTGAACATTTGCATTCAGCGTTGCTAAGATAGTCGAATTCACTGCAAATCTACGTTACATGAGTTTATTTGTTGCACTGCATATCTAACGAGAAGCATCAACCCAACTGCAGTCCTTATTTGAGTTTATGATTTAAGGCTTGCATTAACCAAAAACTTGTTTTTAGGTCCCGACCTTTATCGGAAATCACTTGACAAGAAACATTTTCTGTACACGTTATGATAAAATATAAGCATTCTCTAAAGTAGCCTAATGCTCAGAAACTAGTCAGAGTTGGAGAAGTATGGTAAAACGCACATGTCAGGAGGAAGCTGAGCTCATGAGCGATTGGCAATTACTTATCTGGCAGGTATAACGAATGTGAAAGCATGGTAGGAGATATTTTCTTCAATAAATACATCCGTAAATGTTGTTTGATCTCTAGTGTTTTAACCCTCCATGACAGTCTGTGATGTGAGATAATGAAATGACCACAATCAAATGTACTAGTCGACGCAAGAAAGAATCATAGGTGTTCCCGGGTTATACAGGTGATTATTCATAAAAACACCACGTAAAGGTACGGAATGGCAAAAATACCCGTATTTGCCAACTCAAAAAAAAAGAGCCAGAGCATTTTCTCCTAATTTGAGAAAATACGCGTAAGATGGTGAGTGCTGCTAATCTTCTTATATATAAAGTTGAATGTCTGTTTGTCTGTCTGTCTGTCTGTATGTCTGTCTGTATGTCTGTATGTCTGTACGTATGTTCCGAAAAGAAAAATCCATTTCTGAACCGATCCGGACCAAACTTGGCACACATACACTTCGGGCCCCGGCGGTTGTCATAGGCTACTTTTCGTCATCGATCGATATCGTTTTATCGATTTTTTGCAAAATTTGAGCTACGGGGCTGGGAGTTGGTACAGGGGGGGGGGTAATCGAGCATGCTGATTACCCTAATTTCACGCGTACAAAGCGCTGGGTGGTCCTAGCTTTCATCGAGCTGCTCAGCCGCCCCAACGTGTTTTAAGAAGCGATCCTTGTGCCGCACGATTCGTCAGGCAAAACGCAGCATGGTATGGGGTTCCTTGGGTTACGAAGTCCTTTGCCGTGTTCGGGCTGGTCGATGAAAGCTGGGACCACCCCGCGCCTTGTACGCGTGAAATTAGGGTACGAATAAAATAATGACAGGGCCGGGAGGAGCCGGGTAAGCCATCTAGTTGGTAATAAACCTGAATGAAGTAGATGAGTATATGTAAGTCAAGATTTCGAAAACAACTCCAATTGTTGAAAGTGGGTTTTGATACAGTATATCTGCGTTATTTCAAGAAGTCGAGACGAGAGTGAAGACATTTCGTTACAGTTTTGTGATTGTGTTATGCTACGCTTGTCATAGATGTGGTGCATGAATGACTGCAGCACTACTGTAAGTACCGTATTCACGGCCAACAAGTTCTGTATAATTAAAAACGGATTCTATTCTGAGAGCTTTGTTGTATGAGCTTTGTTGTTGTTTTCAATCATCATTCGTAATTGCTTGTGGTGAGAGGAGGCAAAATCTCACGAGTATCGCTCTCTTTGTTTGTTAGTTTATGACAGGTAAATATCCACTGGCAGAGAATTGAAAGCTCCTGCAAAAATTGACTTCCACAAAACTCTTGCATTCCCCGCTTTATTCGAGGCAATTAACCTCTGTCAGTGTCAAAAGCACATATACCTCCTAAACTGGTAGAATTATGTTCTCAAAATACTAATATGTTGAGTCATTGCTATAAATCATAGCTATAGAATTGATGACAAATTAGTAGTGGTGTATCAAAGCAGAGTACACAGACGGCAGCAAGAAAAGTAGGTTGTAACTTGTTTTAACAGTCTAGCCACGTTGTAGCCATTCAATGAGAACTGATTTAATTTCATTTTCACCAGTTCCGCCGTAAAAACAGCTTTATGTTTCTAAGGAATTGCCAAGATGGACATCAGCTGCCCCGACAACCGTAAATTCAGTTTCATCGCAGAACTAATCTTTCGTTCAACAAACGCTACCCATAACAGCCATAATTATGTGGAGAAAAGAGTCAACAGCACCAAATTAGAAACGAGATTGTCATTCAGAGGAAAACTTTGAGATAGGGATGGAATGATCAGGATTTTGAGACGAGAGTCAAAGACGAGAGCCAAGTTAAGAGAGTTTAAATGAAATATATTCTGCAAATGAAGCTCTGTTAGAAAGATCAACTATTTGCTACAATTCGTCTTGTCAGCTTTCGACCGCTTAAATGAAACATATTCTGCAAGTGAAGCTCTGTTAGAAAGATCAACTATTTGCTACAATTCGTCTTATCAGCTTTCGATCAGATGGTTG